TGGAAACTAGAGCAAAATAAAGAAAAGAATGCAGTGGTGGAGGGGATGGATATCATAAAGATACAGGAAAGATCAGTGAGAGTAGAAGAAGGAGAATGAGTGGGAAGGAAAAAGAAAGAGAAAGGAGAAGAAATATGGAATAAATTTAACAAAATCATGTTATAGACAAATATAAATGTACCAAAGGAAATGTAACCTTCATGTATATGTAGATAGTACCCAATCAAAAATAAATAAAGGATTAAAAAAACAAAAAAAAGTTCATTTGTGTCGCAGTCGGGCTGCAGCAAATAACCGGGGGGGTGACGAACAACTTGTGTACGTTGATACAGCAGGAGTGGGAGCTGTTTATTGTAGGACAGGAGCAGTATTTATACATTCCACACAGCTTATCTAATTAGCATAAACTAGATACATCAGTCAACCAATAAGGAATCTCCCCACTTAATGGCTCGCTTTTGTTACTTCTCAAACCACTCCCTCTGGCATTTTGCCAGGCACCATCCAGACTTGTTTACGAACTCTAACATTCCCCTGGCAAAATGCCAGGTGTTATTCAACACATTTGAGTAGAGAAGGAAGAAAAGGGGGAGGGAGAAGGGGAAGAAAAAAGGGGGGATGGGATTGAAATCAAATTCCTTGTATGTATAATTTTGTCAAAATGAACTCAAGTGCTATACATAATTATAATGCTCTATTAAAACAAAAGAATGTTTCTTAGTATGCTTTCAGAGTGCTAGATAGGAAGTGCTCCCTCTTCTGGATGTTGTGACATACAGTGATGTGATCACAGGCCCCTGTCACTATTAGTCTAACAAGCAGATATATAAAAGGAGTCCATCCAGGGAATCACAGGAGGAACCAGATTAGGCTAATCAAATCAGTCCTATCTCTGAACTTCCAATAAGATATTTCAGTGAATTTCTGTTTTTCATAAGCATATGAATTGAGGGGTTTTATTACTATCTTGAGGTAGAGCCAGGTAGTGATATATAATTCATACATGCTTTAATCTTCATGAAAACCAAAAAATGTTGAAACGATTTTCACATTTTATATATGGAGACACTAGGGATCCAAGAATTACATCATTTGTTTCTTCCATTATGGGGCAAATAAATATTTCTTCCAAGAACTGCATGATTCTCAGTTCATCACTATAATAAAATGCAGATCCACATAGGAAACCCTCATAATCTCTGTACTTCTCTCTTGGGTCCTGTCAAAGGGCTTTAACTTGAGCATTAGTTTTACCAAAAATATAAACCAAACCAAAAGAAAACATTGTTTCTAGTCACCTAATGCCTCAAATGAGGCAGGCCTTCAGGTTAATTGAGAATTATAAATTTATTTCCTAAGGGCCACCCCCTCTGAATCTCAGCAAATAGCAATGATAAATGAAACACCTTTAAATGAAACTAAAAATTCAGAGCTTTTTACAAAATATGAGAAAAATCCTTCCTTGCTATAAGAATGGAAAATAACTACAAGATGCTGATGAGGGCACAGGCCAAAGTCTCATTGGGTCAATACCCAGAGAAAACCAAAGCCTGATCTCAGGTTTAGTAGAGGGAAAAAAAAATGTGCCTTCTAGAGACAGAAAACAGAATCAGGCTCACTTCTCAAAATCAGGGTCTGTGTTGGGTGTAGCTCAGTGGAAGTGCTTGCCTAACAGAGGTGAAGCCTTGGGTCCATCCCAGAACCACAAACAAAAACAAACAAAAAGTCAGCCAAGACCAAGCTACTATTAAACACTGCCTGGAACTACGACTTATATGAAGCTGAGGCCTAAGGAGCTAGGAAGCTGTCCTCAGACACAGGACTGAAACTGCTCTAGCCCTGATGTCACAACGGGACATGAGCCTCAAATATCGATGAATCCTGGCTCACAGCTGGGGACTCTGGAAAATCTAGTTCAAGGACCCACAAAACTACTATTGCAGAGAAATTGGAAATCATCTGTCACTCAAGATAGATCTATAAACCAAGTTCAAAAGTAGTTGAGAAGCCAGGCATAGTGGTTTGTAATCCCAGTGACCCAGGAGGCTGAGACAGGAGGATTGTAAACAAGGCCAGTCTCAGAAAATGAGTGAGGCCATCAGCAATAGTGAAACCCTGTCTCAAAAAAAAAAAAAAAAAAAAAAAAAAGGCCTGGGGATGTATCTCAGTGCTAAAAAATCGCGGAGTTAAATCCCCTAATACCAAAAAAAAAAAAGTATAGGAAAGTCACAAAAGGAAAGCCAACCTACAAAACTGGCATAAAATCACTGTCGTTGAAATTAAGAAAACAAAGCAATTCTAAACAGGGCTTCAAGCCAGATCTGGTGATCTGGTGGCACATACCTGTAATCCCAGCTACTCAGAAGCTGGGGCAGGAGGGTTCTGAGCTCAAGGCCAGCTTTGGAAATTTAGCAAGATCTCATCTCAATAACATTGACAATACAAACTTTCTTTTTCTTTAGTTTTCTTTCTTTCTTTCTGTGCTGGGAATTGAACCCAAGGCCTTGGTCATGCTCAATAAGCTATCTCCTCAGCCCCTTGGTATAAAATTCTAAATCCAAATAAATTACCATCCAGAAATTGGCATGGAAAAAAATTCTTTTTGTTGTTATTGTTGCAGTGCTGGGGGGAAAAAATTCTAAATCACATGCATTATTAATATTAATTTTATAAGCATTATCCAGACAGCTTTAATACCTACAAAATATCTGATCAAATCAGAGATGGATGGACTCCAAGGACATGCTAATGAGAAAGACCAAGATACTCCAGTATGTAAGGCCACCATGTGACCTGTGACCTCATTCTACAAATAGCCTTTTTTTCTACAGCTTATACATGACATTTGGTTGATACTCATACCCACAATGCCCACCATAGATTAGGCCAGGTTCACCAGCATGAGGGTGACTTTGAATCAAGGAGCTCCCTTAACTCAGGAACATAAATGTGATTGCTGACATAGAAAGAATCCTGCTTGGGGCCCCTGGGTGAAACCAGAAGTAGAAGAGCCATACCACCAAGTACAAAGGTCTCCTCAACTTCCTCCTCCCCCCGAATGAGCCCAGAGTTCTTGGTTGGAACTCACAAGAGTGGGTACAGGATATTCTCTAAGTCATTTTTTTCCTTGCAAAGTAGGAATTCCACTTCTGGCTATGAAGAATAACTAGCGCCAGACTTGCCCTTCTGCTATCTACAGCTAGAAAACTAGACAAGGTAACACAGCCTGTGAACGCTCAGAAAAGAGAAACGAATGAGGAGAGTCCTATGATCACTCAGATTTTCCCCACACAGGCGGGGCCCCTAAGCAAAGCACAGTCATTCTTGCTAAGATGAAGAGCAGAGATTGGAGTGGAGGAGGCGAAAGCTGCTGGACTTTGCAGTACAGATATACTGGAGGGAAGGGAGATATCTAGGTAAAATAGTTTCAAGTATTATTTTGCCATAAAGAATAAATTGTGTTATCTGCAGGAAAATAGAACTAAAGATTTAATGAAAAACCAAATAAGCCACACTCAGATAAACAAGTATCTCATGCTTTCCCTTACATGTGGAATCTAGGGGGGGAAAGATGATATAGAAGTAGGGGAGACTCTTAGAAGTAAGGAAGGGCAGGGGAAGGCAGGAGAGAGGGGAGGGTAAGAAAGGGAAGTTGAGGGTAGGTGTGATCAAAGTATGTTATTTGCATGTATGAATATGCCACAATGAAACCATTTTTCTGAATTAAAATGTACTAACATACGAATGTGATATAATGATTTTCACTATTATGTATAATTATAATTTTTATTTGTTTTATTTAAATAAATATACGTTTTTTAAAAAAGGTGCACTAATAAGAAAAAAAAAAAAAGAAAAATTGTTCCAGATCTATCCAGATGTTCTCTGGAGTCTCTCGCTAAATACTATATGGTCATGAGACAGTAAGACTCTTAAGAGTCAGGCAAAGAATAATTACAAGAGAAGTACTACTGGGAGCTATAAACAGAACAACTCCCAAAACTGTCACAGGAATGGGAGGTATTAAGTTCAGCCAACCAAAGTGAAAATATTATATTGAACAGATCTGGGCAGTGCCAAACTTTTAGGTCTGGACTGGACATAATTAAGGCTATTCTAGACCACCTAACAAATATATAACCAGAACTATTGAATATGGTAGTCACTAGCCACATGTGGCTATTGGCCCTGTAAAATGTGGGTAGTCCAAGCCAAAATGTGCCTGAAGGTATAAATAAAACATAAACAAGATTCTGAAGACTTAGTATAGAAAAAGAATGTAAACTATCTCATTTACTGATTACACATTAAAATATTAATACTTTGGGAATATTGGGTTAAATTAAATATACTATTAAAATCAAACTTAAAAAGAGAGATGGAAAGAGAAGACAATGTTAGGAGAAGAAAATTATTTCTTATTATATAGACTTTGAGGAAGGGAAAGAAATTCCCCACTCATAAGATCCTGGAAGTCAGCTTCAATTATCTGATATGGCTACTAGTGAATTAGTCACATTCCCTTAATATTGCTACTATTATACTTATTATATTTGAGTTTGTGATGAAGTTTAAGCTAACTTTAGGGTTAATATAACAGCTACTGTGGTGTGAGACATCTATGTTTAAATTGTGTTCTTGCCAACATGAAAAACAAAAGGAATTCATTTAAGGATTAAGACAGAATCAGTGGTCACCAAATAGCTAGAATGGAATATTAGCTTTCTTACCAGTAAAACCTACACTTTCAAATTTGTACTTTCCTATCCTCATTTTGGTGTCTGAATGTAACCTTGTCCAACAAATTATTGTGTGCTGTTTGAAAGAGGTATTCTTGGCAATAGCAATATACAGAAGGGATTATTTAGCTATTAAAGGGGCTTTATTAAAAGGAAGTACCTTCTAAGTGATCAAAGAAAGCTTTGAAGCTTTCTCTAAACAGTATTTATAGAAAAGGAAAACAAAAAGTAAATCCCCACCAAAAAAGAGAGAACTAGAAATCCAAGAACATTGCTTTAATTAAATATTTTAACCTATATTTCCAAACATTAAATGGGGAAGAATCCTCTCTCAATGGAAGCTCTTTAGGTAATTCTAAGTACCTGCTTCAGTTTATAACCATCTTCAGGTCATTGTACATCTATATAATCACAAAATAACCTTTATTAAAGTAGAAATATAAATATCCTTTATTAAAATTCATATTTAATACAAACTTTCACAGATGTTTTAATGTAAAAATAAACAACTATCAGTAGGCAAAGGAGCTTGTTTGAGAATCTGCAGACAATAACAAGAGCAATTCCTAAAACCTGACAACATTTTTATCTTTGCTAGGTATTGGTAGCCAAAAATAATACAGGGGGAATTTGGGGACATTCTGCAGAGTAGGGACAAAATAAAAACCTTACCACCCTTGATAGTAGACATGGGCTCATGATATGCCATGAAGCTGTCACCTGTAAGAACAGTGAGTCTGTTTCAGACCAGGCTAGATAGGCTAAGGGCAGTCTTGATTTATGGGGTCATTAAATATTTCTTTGGCAGTCCTTTCATATTTGAGAGTGTACTGGGCTGCCAAGATGACAGCAATGGAGGTAGCAAGGGTCTAGTGACATATATCTGTTAAAAATGCTTTTGATACCTGAAAAAGAAATCAAGTATTTTTGTCTATTAAAATGGTACACAAATAGAAAATATTCAATAACTTTAATCCAATCTGCATTTTCCATTCAAATTCAAAACTGAAAATTGGACCACAGAGTATCAGTGATCTGCACAAATATCTTTGAGGCATAAGTTTATTAAATTGTACATTCAAATATATATGCAAGCTCTGTCTGAATATGTTCCTCTCAGAGTGGTAAATAAAATTTACAAACATGGCAAGATCTCTAGAGTCATCACAGAATCACACAGAAGTAATATAGAAGCAAAGCAAGTCTTTCCAGTGACTGATGTGGCAGCAAAAGTTCACAGTTTCTGTTGATGTGTGGAAAGAGGTCAGCAGTGGGCAGTCATTTATACTAATATTCACTAACTACATTCACACTGACAGAACTGCATGTGAGACGCTACAGCACAATCCTAAGCTTTTCCCCTTTGTACAGGCTTCTCTTTGGGTGTTTATCATGCCACTGCATTTACTCTTGACCATGCATGTCTGTCTTCCCACCTGTCTTAAACATCTTGAAGGAAGAATCCTAAGGTCTTTGAACTCCATAAAGGAATAGCTCTACAGATCTCACAAATGAAAAAACATAATGCACCCAATAAAAAGTCAATTGATATTTACAACCTTTAGCTACACAAGACCTTTTTCACACTGATTTTACTTTGTTGACTGTACATACTCAAAACTGAGTTAGCTCTTTTTCACCCTGGGCCAAGCTTTGTCTTTCATTTTCATTTCTGCAGCTTGAATTTTCACGGTCACTAACAACGTCTGTCTGGACAAAATCCTGAATTTTGTCAGCCAGAGCACAGAGATTGGCTTTTCGGAGACTTTTAATTAAGGTGTTATATGCATTCTTCTTGCCATGAAATTGATACCAGTTACGAAGCAGTTGGACTTTCTGCTCAGCTGTATCTTGCGGATTGTCATTCTTGATCTCATCTATCTTGGCTTCATTGATACCATTCTTACGAACAAATTCTCTAACTTGATTGATCGTCATTTCTTCAGCAATACTAATGATGTATTTACTCAGGTCAACATCTGAAAAATAGAATATAGTCTCTGAAAATTTGTTTTTTTTTTTAAATGAAATTCCCATTACAGAAAATCATGTTTATTCCTTCCCTTACCATAATTAACAATACAGGAAAATCCTAGAGACCCAAATGGCTGATTATGGAAAAACAAAAATAAAAATAATTCTGAATTGTAATTCCAGCTCCTGCTATGGCCCCAGTAGTTTGCTCTCTGATCAGGGCATGACACATAACATCTCTGTTTCTTCCTACCTCCTGTATGAAATAAGAGGTTTAAAAGACATCAACTCTAATATCCCTCACAAAATTGAAGATCAATGAGCCACAAGCCTAAATGAATAGGCCAAAAGTTTATGATCATTTTATCTGTGAAACCCAGGTCAAATGACAGAACCAAACAGCATCAGGTATGTTGTTACAGAATTGAGTACAACAAAGACAACTGAGTCTACAATTCTATTTAATTGTCACTCTGAACAGAGGTGCTATAATACACCTAACTGGTTCTGAAGGAACAATTTCTCAGAATGTGATGTTCTGTTGCTACCTGATTTATTTTTAACAATGAGCGCTATAGATTTAAATGAACTACTGAATAAACCCTTGATGGTGAGCAAGAACTGTAAGCCCAAGGGGTAGCAAAGTCCACAATATGTTACTGAAATTAGCAAGACTTTATTCTAAAATTGGCCTACTCCTGCAAAGGAAGCTATCTTTTAGAAATACAATGATAAAGTCTTACCTGAGAAATTCATTGGCTCTATTTCCTGGGGAGAAAAAAAAAATGGAGGCGGGGAAGAGACAAATAAAAACATATTTAGAATATTCTAAATGTCACTTTCAAATTCCTTAATTCTGAAGAAAGTACATTCGTTTGCCTGATATATAAAATTAGGAAACTAGACTAAGTGATTAAGAAGGGTTCTTTCATCATTCAAATTTTTAAAGCTTTTGGCCTCACTAGAAACTAAGTAATACTGGCTCATTTTTTACAAAGACAAGGAATCTAAGGAATCCATGAAATAAAATGAGATTATTTTCCATATAAATGCATTAAAGTAAACAACAAACATAAACATTCTCAAATTTTCTTTACTATAGCTATTTTTTAACAGCAGAAAAATGGCTCAAAATGAAATTCTTATGTACCATATTGATTTAAAGAACTTAACTCCCTTTGAGCCCTTGCCTCAAATGAAAACATCATTATTCAATTAACAGGAACTGTTTTCTCTTCCCAATGTATAGTTTTGCTATTTGAAATGTCTTGACCCCATGTTAGAAAAAGAAACAACTAGAGATTGGCTTAATAGTTGTCTGGAAAGAGTCGGGATGTGCTTTTGTGATAGATTTTAAGAGCAATCTCTTTGCCCAGGCTAAATCCAGGCTTTGGTAAAGGATGTCTCCCTGCAGAGGTGACACCAACGTGAAATAGGAACCTTGACCACATCCTTCCTCCAATTCACATACAGCACACTTCCACTCTCCCTTTTGTTGCTTCTTAAGACGCTAGAAGCTTATCTATAAACTAGGTACCATATCTTAACTAATATTTGATGCTGTTCTAACCCATATACACATTAAAACAATACATGTTTGTTTAAAAGAAAGTAACTATCAAAAAGCTGAATTACTACTTTCTCTATTTTTTAAAGAAATCTGATTCACCTACCCGATTGTTGGGTAGAAGTTCATGGTGACCATGTTTTGTACTGCGGTACTTAAAAATTCTGTATATCCCTGAAAGACCAAAGCAATTTCTATCAGACTCAGACCTTAGCCTGGTAGAAAGCATGAGAAGATACTTTCACACTAAAATATATAAAAAAGAAGAAAGAGAAATTCACGGAAACTTTAAGTGGCCAAACACAACAGGAAATGGCACTGTGCTAAACTTACCCCCACTGAGTCAAGTGTTCTAGAGACAGGCCACATCTTAACTGAATCATCCAATTATCACACCCTGGCCTTACATGAAGTTGGCTTTTGACTGACTCTACGGCCACACCACTTCCTTCCTCTCCAGTATGGTGGGTGGCATGACAGCAGAAGGGCTCGGAAGCCATAGGATGTGGAATTGAAATCACCCTGCTGTTGCAGGGCATTTAATGCCTAGAAGTTCAAGTACATAACACTTATAAGTAACTCAGGTATACACATTCAATAAGTTTTTCCTTGAAGTTATTATGAGATGGAAGAAAGGAATCTGTATGTCCCTAAGTATAACTGTTTAAACACCAATTACGTATTTTTAGCTAAACAACCTCTAAAGCTAAGACAAAAATCATATTTTAGTTGAAGAAGCAGTGACTTGTTCCAAAACAGAAGGAAAAGTGTGATAATTCTGAGTTACTGGAAGATGGTGTGACCCTGTATTTTAAATGGTTAAAGCTATCTTCCAAACTAATTATGATTATATCCAATCTGGGGCTTATCTGCTAACTTTAATAAATGATCCTTGCATAAAACGTGTTGCCATCATATTTTAAGTGAAGTAGGAGAAATGTTAATTTAAAAAAAAAAAAACAGCTTGGTCAAGGTTCAGGAGGTACAAAAAGGGATCAGTTTATCAAGTGTCCTTTCAATTTTGTTCCAAGGATGGCCCTTGCTTTTGTGTTTTCTTAACTCATAGGAAAAACTTAATGAATAGTGAAGGATTACTTCTGATTTTTAGCTATTACTGCAGAGAACCCTTGCTTAGAAGGAGGATGGGAATACCACTCAATTCCCTAAAACTGTTCATCAGAAATAGCAGCAGAAGGTATCATCTGTTCTTATTAGCTTTCAGGAGTATGTTCAGTAGCAGGAGATCACCGATACAACAGAGCTACACTTGGTAGCTTTCTTACAGTTAGAAGACAGAGAAAAATTCTTGTGGGCAAAAATTCAAATTTATAGTTTGAACAAACTAAGAACTTACCAAAAGCTATAATCGGGAGTAGCAGTAGCAGGAGGAACCACAGCCAGTTATAATTGAAACCTGTAGCTGGAAACATTGAACATTTTATATGAAAACAAGCAATTTTTAAGGTTAAACAAAATATTGTACTCTTAAATAATTAAAATCAATTAGTTTTTCTTCATATTTAATGGTGAGGATGGGAGAGAGGAGAATATAAAAACAAAAAGAATCATTACTTTCTTTTTTGCATTTGGTATTGCTAGTGGGTGTACATCTCTCAGTGATTCCATGTTCACACCTAGAAAAAAATACACGAGAAATTCAGAAAGCCTGGGTTGATTCCTTCATCATTTTCAATGGAACGTGTATATTTGGGGCCATTTTATTCATCTTTATGTCTCTGAGAAATATTTTTTCCCAAATATATCTAGATTATCATCTAAAAACGAAGTGCAAGTTAATAACATGATTTTGGGTGTTTGGATGAAAAAAACACCAAGAGTTACTTTGTTTTAAGATACCAAAGTTAAAGGAAGATAAAATATTGGCATACAAGGGAAGATGAAATAGACAAACAAACTTCAAACTGACAATAAACCGAACTCTTAAAATACCAGACCTTAAAATAAACTATCTTTTAAAAAATGAACTACCAAGATAAATTTCAAAAAAGTATCATAAAACATTAAAATGCCTAGAGAGTAGACAATGCTCAGGATATTGCTTAGGGAAGCTATTCAACTAGCTTCTTTGGGTTGCCATTCTTGGAATCAAGGGGTGATAAGGAGAGTCAAGAGGCTCAAGTGGAATTTTCTTCATAAGTCAAACACTGACAGAGACCCAGTTTACATCATCATCTTTAGCAATTAAGGGCACAGGAAGTATTCAATCATGTTTGAATGAGTCAGTGGTCATCTAGTTGCTTGGAAGGAGAAACAAAACCAGAACCTTGAGTCTTGGTCAGTGTGGGCTTTTCTCTAGGAAGACATTCTTTATTAGGGTACGTCTAATATTTTCATCACTGAAAGACTAAAACTTACGTGGTGCACGGGTCACAGTGTTCACAGAGAGCAGTTTCACAATAAAAGTTCAGTTTACATCTGCACTTGGTATTCTGGGTCTGGGTACAATTTGTTTCCACTTCTAAGCCTAGAAATTCAGTTTGGAAAATATTAATTATAGCAGCTAGTTATAAATGAACTATGAAAATAATGATCAAGGGCGGCATGGATTTTTGAGATCCACTGCTAAGATCAACAGTTATATCATCAAGCCTTTAGTAACATAGGTAATGTTAAATAGCAACACAAATACCCACAGGTTAAAATAGCCAACAAAGTTTTAAGTGAACAAACAATCCAGCAACCAAGATCATCCTGCCATTGGTTAGATGGTTCCTCTCTTCCTCTAGCCTAGACCCTTGCTACTAAGAAAAAAGCCCAAGGACTAGCAGTATAATCAATACTCAGAGCTTGTTGGAATTGAGAATGTCTAAATAGACCAAAGCCAAGGCCATCACTTAAGAGATTCTGATTTAATTGCTGTAAGTGAGACCTAAGCACTGGCATTTTTAATAGCTCCTTGGGCAATTCTCACACACACAGCCAGGGTTGAGAAACCTTGCTTTACAGCCTAAATAGGGAAAAGAAAAGCTTTTTGTCCAGCGGGTTTTTGATATCAAATAAAACTAGGAGTCCTTCTGTTACATTTTACTCTGCTCCCTCAGAAGAGATTGAGATATCCATAAAAATTCAGGTCCCCCAAGTGGAATTATCAAGACAAATCAGATCTCCAAAGATAGGGGAATATGCTACCCACATTTTGGGTTTCTCTGCCCTTGAGTCTATAGACTTCTAAGCTCTTTCTGGCCATGAATAAAGACCATTATACAAGCAAAAATCAAGGCAGGATAAAAATAGTTTCTGTGGTTTTGACTGGAGATGATGAATCCTTTGATTTGATATTTAGTCATTTGCCTTCATCTGAGAGAACTGCTGAGAGTTGACCCACAAATGTCCAGACCAGTGAATTTTAGCTCAGTACTTGGTCCTGCATTGCTCCAGCCAGCCTCATTCTGCACCTTCCTGTGTGTCAACATCATATCAGAAGAGGGGCCAATCTCAAACTGTACTATAAATGGTTCTACATGAAGTACCAGGTTTGGACTCTTTTTATTGCTTCCTAAGACACTTACCAAGTCCTCCATCACAAAACTTACATCTTCTGCATTTAGGAGAATAATGTTCATTATCTGTATACTCCTTCCCTTCTTGGCAGGGCACACATATTGGCTTTCCCCCATTGGCTGTGCAGTCAGCATCTTTTCTTGTACCTGAGCAGGGGGAAAAAAATCAAGTATTTGAAGGTAAGGTGGCTATGTAACAGCATGGGGAGTGCACAGGAATTATTATGGCTTGGATGTGAGGTGTCACCTCATGTGTGAGACAATGCAAGAAGGTTTAGAGGAGAAATGATTGGCTTATGAGATCCTTAAACCAATCAGTGAATTCATCCCCTAATACGGATTAATTGAGTGTTAACTGAATGTGGGTAGGGTGTGGCTGGAGGAGGTAGGTCATTGGATGCATGCCTTTGGAGTATTTGTTTTGTATCTAGCTGGCAGAGTCTCTGCTTTCTGATCATTACATGAGCCACTTTCCTCTGCCACACTCTTCCACCATGATGTTCAGCAAAGGAATGGAGCTGGCTGGCTGGCTGTGGACTGAGACCTCTAAAACTATAGGCCCTCAAATAAACTTCTCCTTCTCCTCAACAATTGTTCCAGTCTGGTTCTTTTAGTCACAGTAGCAAAAAAAAAAAAAAAAAAGCTGACAATAAAACACTCCTAAAATGTTGTAGGGGCATTTAAGCTAATGATATATAAATACAATGGGGAGAAGATTATTATTAAAAAGTCAGTTGTGAGTGAGAAAGTCTTCTAAGACAAAAGCTAAAAGAATGAGTAAAGGAATATGCCTAGAGAAACAAGATAATTAAGAATAAGAGCATATAAAAAGTGGGAGATGGTCTGGGATTGTGGCTCAGCAGTAGAGCACATGCCTAGCATGTGTGAGGCACTGGGTTCTCAGCACCATACATAAATAAATAAATAAATAAAGATCTATCAACAACTAAAAACAATATTTTTTTTAAAAAAGTAGAAGAGAGGTGAGAATGATCAAATGCACTTAAAGAAATTCTTTTGCCAACTAATTTCTTGGAAAGGGGAGAAGCCTGGGAGATACTCAGAGCAAAATGGCTGTCACTGGCTACAGAGATTACTGAATTAATTTTGTTCTAATTTCTTATTTTACTTTGAAAAGTCCACAAATCCTAATAAGAGATAATGTAGTTTTAGGGAAAGGACATTAGACGTTCCAAAGACCTTGGTCAAATCTTTAGTACCTATAAAATCTATAACAAAGTGTTTAGTCTCTCTAAGCCAAAATTGTGTCATGCATAGGATGGAGATAATAATCCTTCTCTTACATTGTTATTAGAATGCATCTGTTCTGTATAGTTAATGCTCAGTTTCCTCCTCTCTCCCTTTTCTTTCTACTCTGTTTCCATCCAGGAATAAAGTCCAATTTGCTGGACAAGCATAAACATATTGATAACAAAATTTATTATCAGGGTTGTTATCTTAATGCAAACAGTTTTAAATAATATTCCGGTTTCCTTTAATTTACATTAAAAATAAAGCATGGCATTGATAATACTAAGCATTACGCAACAATATTTTCTGGGAAATTCACACATTTAACAAGAGCTTATTAAATGCCTGTTGTGTAAGAGGCAGTTTCTAGGAGCTGGAAATGCTGTAAGAAATAAGTCAAAGCCTTCATTGCAAGACTTTCACCTTCCCAGGCAGACAATGTGTAAATGAATATGTGAAGTCCAGGGATGACAAGTGCTATGGGTAAAACTAGATTAACATAAGGGGACAGAGAATGAAGAAGAAAGAGACAGAAAATATAAACAGAAAAGCATCACTAGTGACTAATTATTAATGGTAGAACTAATTTTAAAAGATACACAAAGTCTAATCCACTCCACTCACATATACAGCAAAAATAATTTACACTGTTTCCTAAGTACGTGACTTTATTAATAACTTTATAACATTCTTATTGATTAAAAAATATATTTACTATAAGCAAATTATGAAATGTAAATATATATATGATATTTTAGTAAACAAAAACAACAGTCTGTCAATATAAAAAAAAATAAGCAAATCATGGAAACCCAGAATAGAATTCAAACACAGGGCATCGGGGCTAGGTAACATCGAGGCAGCATCCTAAGGAACACAGTGAAATAACAACTGTGTTTCCTGTGAGTCGTATTATACTGATTTCCAAATGAATTTCTCTCTTCCATGAACTGTCATGGAATGTGCCTAGCACAGTGTAATAGGAGATATAAGAACTCACATATTCTTTGCTCCAAAGTATACAAATTAAATTTTTTTTTCTTTTGGTACTGGGGATTGAACTCAGGGGCACTTGACCACTGAGCCACATCCCCAGCCCCATTTTGTATTTTATTTAGAGACAGGGTCTCACTGACTTGCTTAGTGCCTCGCTAAGTTGCTGATGCTGGCTATGAACTCATGATCTTCCTGTCTCAGCCTCCCCAGCTGCTGGGATTACAGGCATGCGCCACCGAGCCAGGACCCAAATTTTTTTAGATGAAAAATTAGTGACTGTCCCCCCCAAAAAATGTATAACACATTATTTTCTGAGTATAATGATACATAATTATTATAAAAAGTTTGGGAAAAGGACATATGAAAGCACTTATATATCAACTACCTTGAGATATTATTTTGTTGTTCTGCTATACATATAAACACACACACATATATTCATATGTGAGCATATGTATGTGTAACAGGTGTGTGTGTGTGTGTGTGTGTGTGTGTGTGTGTGTAGTGTGAAAGTAACAGAATCCTTACTGGATATGACAATATGACTGGGACTTTTTGATCAAAAGTGTTAATTCACATATGGAATCATTAAAAAATACTGCATTTTATTGTAATTTATAAAGAATCACTATGTAATCATTTTCTAATTGTGTGACACTGTACAAACACATTAGAATTCCAGATGCTTTATCGCTTGTCATACCCATAATGTATCACCTGTTGGTTATTTCCTTCTTTGTCTTCCTTCCTTTCTCTCCTTCCTCCCTTCTTTAGTGCTAAAATGAAAGCTTAAGTACACCAATAGTCTGTCTGAATGCCTGAAATTCTCCAAAAAATTCAACCAAGTTTTCCTAGAGATAAACTTATATTTTCTCAGTATTAATAATACATTGATTTATATAAATTAATTAAATTACATTAAAATCATAGTAACAATGAATACAAACAGATTTGGAAGCAACTTGAATACTGATAAGCCAAAAATTCAATAACAGTGAATAAAAGTGAAAAGAGTGTTTATCCTGTATTTGATGCCACCTAGGATCATTAGAGGAAAGAGCAGAGAGAAGCAGTTTATCCAGTCAGCAAGCTAGTTGGCAATCATGAAAGGGGATTTATACAATTAAGGACTATATTAGAAATATATCAGAAATTCTGCTGTACTTTGACTTTGATTGGCAGAAAACTACTTCTTTAAATATCCAGAAGTCACTTAAGCAATCCCACATCATTGGGTATCACAGTGAAATGCCATGCATTCAATACTTTTCTTTATTTTTTACTATTTTCTTAAGGCATTTTCTATAAATTAGTGTGTCAGTGGTTCTAAACATTTTTAAATTTTTGACCTGTACATTCAACTTTATTTCTTATATAAGTTTGTATCATTAACATTCCTATAGTGGTAGAATGAGTTCTCATCCCATAAGCTAACTCACAAGGGCTGAGATCCCTTCTTAAAGGAAAATAAAACAAAGCAAAAAGGCAAAAATTCTTGACAGACTGATATATATACAAAGCATACTATTTTTTATTTTAACTTTTGTTTTAAATTTTAAAACTGTGAACATATTCCAATTCATAGGGAAAACTGATCCTGTTCAGCAAGTTATAAGAAAGTTAAGAAGCCATTTTTCATTCCTGTTGGAAAAGGGTAAATATAAAAGGGCGTTAAGTATAAGTCAGTTGTATTATAAGGGATGTTTTTCCAAATCTGAACTGGAAGCTAAGGGGGACTCTTAGAGAATCTTTTCACATACCTGACTGATGCCTGCTTTGCACTGGTAGTGTGGGAATCCTGGGAGACCAACAAGTCCTACTACAGATCTACTACAATTTTTTCTGGCCCTATTAATCTGTTGCATAAATCACACAAACCCATGTATTGCTTTCCTATACCTTCCTGTCTTCACAATACAGAAAGATGAGAAAGATCCACAGTTGAGAAAGATCCACACCTGTAATGTACTAGTAATCAACTCTAAGTTGGAAAAAAAAAAGTTTGTGCAATTACATCTGGCTTAGCTTCTAATTTGCTAGTGTTTGAAGGATTTCCGATATGAAATTGATTTGCATTTCAAAATAGTGACTTTTAAAACTTATTGATTTGTGTCCGTTACATTTCTAGTTCATCTAGTTATTCAGCTGCAAATGCAAATATATTTTGCAGGCTTCAGTGCCAGGACTAACAGTCTTCTTAGAGACCTGACTGAGGGGAAGTGTGAGACATAGCCTATAAGGGTGAGAGTCCCTTGCTTTCAGAGCTTCACTATTGTTATAATATATCCTAGTCAGTTTTAAATGATAAGCTTTAATACCCACAAATAAATCCTCTTTTGCTCATGAGAAATGGAGCTAAATAGACAAATCTCCCATTTTGGGGGTACACGTAATTTGTAAATTTGTAAAATTTTCACTTAATCATAATCATATCAAACAAGTTTTTTTTTTTTTAATATTTATTTATTTATTTTAGTTTTTTTCGGCAGACACAACATCTTTGTTTGTATGTGGTGCTGAGGATCGAACCTGGGCCGCACGCATGCCAGGCGGGCGTGCTACCGCTTGAGCCACATCCCCAGCCCCCAAACAAGTTTGATAAAGGCAAATAAAGCTGATTTTTTGAAAATAATTTCATAATTGGTATATTCCTCCAGTAATATTATAACGCTAAAGGGTAATCAAAACTTGTAAAGATAACGGATTCATTATTACCGATGCTACCCCTCACCCTGATTTTCATTCCGATCTCTGAATATTTTGTGTGACCTACCAGGAGGACACAGCTGACAGCAGAACTGGCCTCCATGATGCAGGCCTTCTGAGCACTGAGTCTCAGCTTTTGTAACATTCTCCCTCAAGTCCCACACCTCAGTCGCTCGGGCACTGATATTTTTGGGCAATGATCCAACAATAAAGGGAAGTATCTGTAAAAGAAAAACATGAAGAGAATTTATTGATTTCTGAAACAAATAACTTGGGAAATGAGTGTCACTGAGCCAAATGATTGGGTCTGCTGTGCAGAGGCAGACTCAATGTTGGGGCCCCACCCTCCTGCTCAATAATCACTGAAAAAGGAGCACACCACCTGCATACAGCTCAAGCCAAGGTTTCTAAGCCACACAAAAAACAGTGTCATGCATGGGAGGAACCAGAGCTGTGCTCAAAAGTAAGCACTAGCTCCTACTTACACTGCCCTGTGCCATGGATAAAGAACTTAAATTGTTTCCTTATCCACACAGTAGAAATAATCTATTCTCATACATCTGCTGAAATAATTAAACAGAATCATGCATTTAAAGCTCTTACCACAGAACGGGGTGCATCATAAATAGGTGCATACTAAACACTGATATTATTGTGACTATCATAAAGTTGCAGTGACGGATAGCATAATGCAATGGGAAAAAAGAAATTTCAAAATGTCAGTGGTTTGAATCCTAGTTCTGTCACCAGAACTGTGACTTTAGGCAAGTCACATAACTGCTCTGATACTTGATTTCTTCATCTGCTAAGTGAGAATAGTATTTTCTATCTTAAAAGGGTTGTTATGACAATAAGAAGTGACAATTTCTATCAAACCTACTACTTAGCTTACAGAATGGCAATTTCTTCCCTTCTTATATACTAATGCAGAATCAATGGTTTATGATTACATCTTCATTTGTTATCCATCCAAGCATACAATAAATATTTCATTAAAACCAAAAGTATATTCTTTATCTTTGTTCTGGAAAACAGTCTTTTCTTTATAGAGAACCAACATTTGATTTCCTTTGATTCCTTTCTCCTTCAAACAAACACTCATAACTCTAAGTGACATTGTGTCAAACTTAGCTAGCTATAGAGTGGAGTTCCTTAGGAACATGAAGAGGAAAAAATGTATATATATATATATATATATATATATATATATATATATATATAAAATAACATATAATATATAAAATAATAAAAACACCCCCTGCTCTGATCCTTCTTTGGGTTTCCTATTTTTTTCTCTAAACATAATTTTAAAAAATCATTCATCTTACATATAGTAAGTAAGTTCTATTACCAGTCATTTTGCTGTTAGTTTTGAACTTTGTTTTCTCAAGATCATTTTCATAGCTTTCCTGTGTGTCTTTTTTCCCCCTATTATATGGCAGAGCCATAATACTGGCTACCAAAAAGTCACAACTTCCCTCTCAGCCCTTTTTCCTTCATCACTTAAACTGGCATCATCCCATTCAGACCACAGGATACCACAGGACTTATGACTGAGAAGATAAGGAGGGGTGAAGAGATGCGGTGGCCCACATTTCCTCCTGGGATGGATGTGTCTTAAGATGCATTTCTAACATCCAGACTTTCCAAGAGGGAAAATGACACCAAAATATCAAGGAAATGGTTGACATGTCCAGGGTCATATCACTTACTAGCAAAAGGAGAGCTCAGATTTGTCAATTAACTTCTACCATATCTTTCTTCCCCCTGTACTCTGGACTTAACATAGAATATAGCTGACTTTCCAGTTATGAACAATTCAATGTAAGGAACAGTTGGAATTGGCACACAGATGAAAAGAATGGTACTAAATATGCTGGCTTTCCCACCAAACCACTGCCAAATCTAACACTTTTGTTGAGCCGAGCTTGGAAAATACAAAGGTAACTAACTTTGATTACAATGGAAAATTAATATCAAGTTTCCAAAAGCAGAAGAACCTCAGGCCTCACACATGCCAAACACTCTACCACTGAATCTACATCTCCAGGCCAATACCTGCATTTTATTTATATTTATATTTATATTTATATTTATATTTATATTTATATTTATATTTATTTATTTATTGTAGGAATTAAACCCAAGGCCTTGAACCCAAGTAAACACTGTAGTACACAACCTCAAGTCCGGGGCTTTTATGTTTTAAAACATAAATCTATGATCTTTTTTCTAAAACACAACAAACATGCAGTTTTGAACAAAATAGCATTATTGACCTCAGTCTCTCTTTTTAGGATAACAATTCTCCTTTCTTTCTCTGCCACAAAAGGTCATGCTGTTATCCTGCTAATATTAATCCCTCTTTTATATCACAGAATCATAGCTAGGTAACAGAATTGGGCACTCTAGGAAACAGTAATGTGATTGGAGGTGTACCAAAGTGTTAATCACTGAGATGGGAGAGGCTTTCAAATGAAATTTGTCTACATTTTTAAGACTCCTTATTCTATAACTACCCCCAGGTTCTAATTAATGGCTAAGAATTAATTATATTAACTAATCAGCATTCCAGACATTGGAGCTCATGAAAATTTTTAAATAATATAAAAATTCATTAGGAGATAAAAGAGATCAGTGAGTCTTCTTGCAAACTGAACAGGAGCAATTCTTTTCTATTGCCAGCCACCTTTGTTATTGTGAAGAATAAAGTTACTGGTGAGCTATTACTTGCTTTCCTTTTCTTTCAATTCTGGTTTCTAATTAGAAACAAGATGACACAAATTTAAACTCAAAGGGATGGGATTTATAGGAACTGGGCCAGCCCAGATTCCCAGATTGACAAGTCAAAAGCACTCAACGTTAATGCCCAATTAATTGTGTGTGTGTGTGTGTGTGTGTGTGTGTGTGTGTAATAGAGCCCTATGCTCTTTGGTATGCAAATTTTATCCAATATCCAGGAGACTGAGTAATGCTTTAACAGTGTATTAACTAAAAATCAATTGTTTGGATGAGACTCACCTACATTATGGAAGGTTATCAGCTTTACTCCAGAAAAGGCAGGAAAATGGGTTAAATCTAAGGTCTGAAAGGTACATAAACTAAGGAAAATGGTAACCACATGGAAAAATAATGAAGAATAAAAATTATTTTAAATATCCATCATAACATTTCTTTAAGTCAGAGAAATCTTGATCACATCATCCAGAATATTAGCTAAGCCATTAGCAAATTAGTTAAGCAAATTCATTTTAAGCCTTTCCGAGTTTATATGAAATCAGGGTGTTTTGTTCAGGTTGTGTGTGTGTGTGTGTGTGTGTGTGTGTGTGTTGACAGAGAGGGTCAGGGAGAGATGAGATTTATCTTAAGGAACTGGATCACATGATTGTGAAAGCTCAGTGAGCCAGAAATCTGATAGTGTAGGCCAGTAGTCAGGAAAGAACTGCAGCCAAGAAATCAAGTCCAGAGACAGACTGCTAGCAGAAATATTTCTGGCTCATGTTAGTGAGGCAGCCAGTCTTTGTTCTACTTAGGCCTTCAACTAGTTGGTTAAGGTCCACCTACATTATGCAGAGCTATCAGCTTTACTCCAATTTATGTTAATCTCGTCCAAAAAACATCTCCACAATACATCCAGAATAATGTTTACCCATATATCTGAGTGGGGTGGCCCAGCCAAGTTGACACACAAAATAACCATTATGTAAAGACATATGGTGGGAAAAAAAGAGATACACAACAGGTCAGGGAGAGAGAAATGCTATTTAAGTGAGTAAAGGAGGATTAGGGGCATGAAGAATTTTGAATGGGACGATGCTGTTTCAGAAAGAGTAGTCTGGGAATGCCAATGAGCAAGAAGACACTTTGGCAGTGACTTTACAAACGTGCAAGGGGGAGCGAGGTGGTTGGAAAGGCTTTCCAGGGCATGGCCCAAGTAAGGAAAAACCCAAACTTCTCAGCAAAAGCTTCACTAGGAGATACTAAAGGAAATAAATATAAAGGTTTCCTGATCCACTCAGATAATTAACATTTGATATTCAAGGCCACAGTAGGACCATACAGCCTTCTGTATCCATAGATACTGCCATCACATAGAATCCTGGAGTGACAGAGCAGAAGGAGACCATGGCCTCTATTCAGCTTCAAGGCAGATTTTTTAAATGGCTCTAAATGTAAGTTCATTGTAACTTGAGTCTTCTGTTACCTACAGTATTTTAATATCTTGTGCAAATGAGAAAATTTATTTCTCTCTTTCTGAGTCATTCATGAAAATGCTAAGTGAGAGGACCAACCCCCATTCACATTCCTTCGTGGCATTTGTCTGGCCTTTTACAAAGTTCACTCACATATATCACCTCTTCATAGCTACAGTAAATCTGCGTAGGAGGAGTTACTACTGTCCTTTTTATAGTTGAAGCTGAGCACAGAGTACAACAATGACTTATTAAAAAACCCAAAAGTATGAAAGCCTGAGGAAAGACTCCAGCACCATATATTTGGCCCAAGTCTGGGCTCCGTTTCAAGTTTGTGAGCTAGTTTCCCAATGACTTTTACTTCATCTAGGCACATAAACAACTCAATTGTTTTCAGATAATCATTGGCAAAAAGCCTGCCTGTTAATTGTATAATGAACCTTCCAAACAAAGGGATGTTGGGGAAAATGGAGATGTTTGGAAGCATTTCTCTTGAGGATCAGAAGTCAACTCCAAGTTATTTAGTCTGGGAAAATCGTAGCAGGATCCCCCCAAAGCCAGGGCTCTGACTGGCAGGAAATGGAAATCTGGCCAGCCCCGATCACATCTTGGGAAGAAACTGAGTTTGTCTTCATCCCTCCAATTGAGTGCTATTTCTGGGAATAGCTAAGACCATCAGAGCACTGGTAGCAAGGGTGGGGCTCTGGAATGAACAAACAGGATGTCGAAACTGGAAACCATCCCATACCAGAATCTTTGCACCTGCTGCCTTTGAGCCCTCCTAGAAATAAGGACACATGAGAATTTGTTCCTGTTATTGTAACATGGAATATGGATAGTTGTGTTCCTCGTCTTGGGAATTTGAGGCATGAAACCCATGGACACAAGGATGAGAGTAAAGTGACAAGAGTTAGTAGAGTAATAAAAGCAGAACTCCCAAAGGGAAGGGACCCCACAAGGGGGATGCTCCTGGGTCTCTGTGGTCTAGGGGCTTTTCAAGACTTATCTGATGGTCCAGCACCGGTGGT